CAGTAGCTGAAGTTGCTAAAGAAGCCTTATGGCTTGCTGGGCTAGTAAAAGAACTGGGCATTGAGCAAGGTGGAGTTCAGTTGCATTGTGACAGTCAGAGTGCTATTTATCTGGCTAAGATCCAGGTGTACCATGCGAGAACTAAGCACATTGATGTCAGATATCACAAGATCAGAGAGTTGATTGCTTCTGGGGAGATACCGTTGCAGAAGGTTCATACTCATGAGATTGCAGCTGATATGTTGACCAAGCCAATTACTATCAACAAGTTCTTGCATTGCTTGGACTTGTTGAATGTTTGCAGTTGCTAGAGAAGCATGGTGGCCCAACCCACGGTGGTGCAAGTGTAACTCCCAGGTATTTTTCTCCTAAGGGGCTGGATATTCGCCAAGGTGGAGATTTGTTATGGTACGACTCATATACCATATAGGGACAGACGCTGGATCGAAGCGGAGCGGAGCGGAAGAATCTGTCCAAACTGGAAAGTTACATGGGTTGGGGTGCGGGGGCAAAGCCCCGCGGTATGGTACAGGGGTAATGTTGTAATTACGTATTGTGTCTAAGTTTACTCCTGGGGTTATAAATAGGCATGTTAGTAACCCCATGAGGTATCTCTCTATTCTGTAACCTCTTTTCTGAATATTGAAAGGAACTCGCCGCTCTGCTCCCGAGGACGTAGACATCTTTGCCGAACCTCGTTAAATCTCTGTGTTCTTCTGGATTTGTGTCGTTACTGTTTTTCTTCGCCCTAATTTTCTCAACAGTTATGCCTTCCAACCGATAGGACGCTCTTGGCGACATTGTCGATTTCTTCACCTAAGTTTGAGTTCCCCGAGTGTCTAGCGGTCACCTCTAAGAGATGGTAGGCAGGAATCCCTGTTGGAGAGAGAGGTAACTTCCAAAACAAAATGAACAATATTAAATTGTTAAAAGAGAATTGTATGATCTTAACGTAGATCCCGCTAAATTTGTAAAAAATGTGGATGCTGGAATTGATAGATTGGCGAAGATAGATATACCCTATGAAGCTTCGATTTGTGATGACTTCTCATAAATAAATCTCATAGATCATGAAAGGATTCAACAAAAATCCTTCCAATAAGTATAAGGAAAAAGAGATGAGCATATCCTTCACATCAATGAAGAGAACTACAAAATCGGTAAAATAAAAACCAATCCTTTGTGGGCTTTGCGCTATTTCAGAATGGTTTAGGACAATCTTCTAGACATAAAACAGAAAAGTTATAAATTTATAAATTAATCACTGCATTCGTTTAAAAGACTAAATCTAAAAAGTTTCACTTGTGATCTTTTACCACATGTTCATTTATCCATTTCACCGTAAAAGAATTTCATATATTATATATATATATATACATACATACATACACATACTTGAGAAGTTAGTGGTGTGCGTGGGATTCTGCATAAATTGATTGGTGGTTATGTAAACTGTTCCTGTTTCACTTAGCAATAGCATCATGGTCGGTTTGGATGGGATAAAGCTGCAGGTTTGATAACTTTGGATTTTGATCTCCCAGGTTCCACATTTGAGCAGGGTAACGCATGTCTTGGACCTTTGGTCATCGCGGCTCGTCGGCAATTGATCGGCAAGTGGCCGGTAAGCAGGCGGCGTCTAGCGTGTTTGTACCTCGCTCTCAGCAGAAGGAAAAGAGCAGCTAGGAAAAAACTAAAATTGGAACGGTAATAAGCAGTGTTATGAGGGGGATCATTTTTATGAAAATGTTTCTAGAAGTGGGGAAGGAAAAAAAATTGGCTGGAGGAGATTTGGATGTTAGGAGCAATCTACGGAAGATATATTTAGTTTTTTGGGGATCGCCGGAGATGAGAAATAAATGGAGAGAATATGTTAACGTGCTAGTTTCCTTTGTACATTTTGCTAGTTGTCCGGGAGATGTCGGATTCAAATTTATGTGTAGACCGTGTTCAAGAAATAGAGCGTTTGAAGGGGGAAATAAAAGTGAAGAGAAAGAGAGGGAGAGAGAGAAGAAGATGAAGACTTCCCTCGGCATGGAGAAATTGGCTGCTCTCGGGTTTCTTGGCTTCTTTTATTCCACACAACTAGTGGCTACGGAAAAAAGATGGGGGAGAGAGGTCTCGATACATGAGGATTGAGAGAATGCCTCAAAATCAACCTGGGGGAGAGTACCTCATTTTAAATGTTATAGCTTCTCATATTTATAGAAAGAGGAGAGGGGAATATTACAAAAGTGCCCTTTCAAGGAGGCAATACATGCTTATTTAAGCAATCGAGTCGCCTCGAAACTTGCGATCACTTGGCATCTTTTTTTTTATATAGTTGTTTAACTATTTGTTTATACTTTTTTTTATATTATTTTATCTAAAGATGATGAATACTTTATCTTTCGTATACATTTTCCCATGAGGTCTGCTAGCAATGAAGGAGTGAGAGGTTTAGGTGGCGTGCACATAAAATCTTTTTTAGTTAATGGTTGTTCAAATGGGGGTCGTCTGATGCTTGAGATGATCGTGGTTGAGGAATCTAGCCGACCTTATGAGGATCAGTCTTCCGAAGAGATGACTCGTTATTTTGCCAGACTAAATGAGGCCTCTTGTCTAAAACTTGTCGGTAAAGATGCTTGTTGGAGGGGAGATGTCCGACTCGTATGGCTGAAATAAAGTGAGTTAGCCGGTCGATGCTTGAGTGGTCGAGCGACTGATATGCGACTGCAGTGAGGTGGCTAGCCGAATGACGTCGGCCGAAGAGAGTAAACAGATGGTCGGGCGACTGAAGGCCAGCCAAGTGTCGCATGTCGGGGGAATGACTAAGGGGGTATGGTCTTTTGCTTATGTGAATAAGTTTGTTATGACATGACTACATTTTTCAACATAATTTTTCGGCTATGCAAATATGAATGTCAAACGATTCATAAATAGATGTAGATCTATGTATCCTCTTTATTGATGATCGACATTTCGGCGGTTGGTTGTTTGTGTAGAATACTGGTTAAAAGAGCTTGGGAGATTAACCTAATGCCAAGAATATGACATTTAGGACCTTGATCGATCAACTCGGCAAGCCCTAAAAGTCAAACCAACAGTTGGGTGGTTGAATGAGCTCAACGGATCAACCCTATAACTGGCATATTGTCAGATACGTTCGACGGTCAGAACTTGGGCCACTAAATTGTTGAAAGTCAATAGGTATGCCAGCCTCGGAAAGGCCTGCTAAATTTTGTACTGCCACAAAGGTTATTTACGAATGCACAAAAATAATACTCATTTGTGTTATGAATTTATAATTCTTTCAATTAAAATATTTCAAAATATATACTAAGGCAAAGATATTCTTAATAACTAAGGCTGCTAAAATGGTTTGGTATTCACGAAAACTTCGTGTTCGGCTCATTAATTAGCTCGTATTTAATCTTTTGCTAAACAAACAAGCCAAGACGAACTATTTTTTTGAACCGAGCACGAATAAAGCTTTCTTCATGCTTATTAGGCTTGTTTTAATTGATGAGCATTATTTTTAAATAATTTAATTGACTAAAAGGCTATAAAAATTTCCACTCGATTAAAATTATTAATTTAAAAAATAGAATAAAAAATATTAAATTCTATTTAAATGAATATTTTAATAAAATAATAAGATTTAAATCATGCCCCCAATTGTTAACATCCTACGACTACTTGAATAGGGATGTCAAAGGACTCGTTGTTCACGAACAGCTCATGTTCGCTCAACAAGAATAAATTTTTTAAGCTTGATACATTAATGACTCTGAACATGAACGGTTCTATTTTTAATGAGCCAAATAAGAGCGGAGCTTCGCTAATTTACCCCTATTAATAGCAAATTAAAATAAAAGTGTTGAGCTCAAATAAGGGCCGTTCAGTCCCCTTAACCAGAAGCATACAATCTGAAAATTCACAGGAATGAGCGCGGACCTGAACCGGCAAGTCCTTGGAGTGCTAGAGAAATGCGCTCGGCTCTCTCAACTTAAGCAGCTCCAGGCCTTCCTCACAACCCTCGGCCATAGCCAGACCCAGTTCTTCGCCTTCAAGCTCCTCCGTTTCTGCTCCATGGAACTCGCCGACTTCTCCTACTCTCGCCTCATCTTCGACAGCTTTCTCACCCCCAATGTCTACCTCTACACCGCCATGCTCACCGCCTACTCTTCTCTCCCCGACCCAACTCCAGCCTTCCATCTCTTCTCTCTCATGCTTCGCCGCGGATGCCCCAAGCCCAACGAGTTTATCTATCCCCATGCCCTCAAAGCCTGCTCGGATCAGTCTGCTTTTCATTTTGCAAAATCCGTTCATGGCCATGCGTCAAAAACGGGTTTTGATCGGCTTGCCGTGGTGCAGACCTCTGTACTCGATGCCTACGCGCGGTTCTCGGATCTTGATACTGCCCGCAAGATATTCGATGAATTGTCCGACCGAAATGTCGTTTCTTGGACTGCTCTGATTTCTGGTTATGCTCGAGTGGGGAGGGTAGGAAACGCCATTGCGCTATTTGAGGAAATGCCTGAGCGGGATGTCCCTTCCTGGAATGCCATGATTGCTGGTTGCACCCAGAATGGGATGTTCTCAGAGGCGGTGACTCTATTTCGGAGGATGCAGAAGGAGAATGTCTTCCCCAATGATACAACCGTAACCTGCATGCTTTCAGCTTGTGGACATCTTGGTGTTCTCCAGCTCGGGAAATGGATCCATGGCTATGTGATGAAGAACCAGATCAAAATCAGTTCTTTTATTATGAATGCTCTCATTGATATGTATGGAAAATGTGGAAGCATGAAAGAAGCAGGATTTGTTTTTCAAAGATTGTTTGAGCCAAGCTTGACATCATGGAACTCCATGATCAACTGTCTTGCACTTCACGGGCATAATGAGCGTGCAATTGCAATATTCAAAGATATGGAGCGCCGAGGAGCCAGACCTGATGAGATTACCTTTGTTGGGCTTCTGAATGCTTGCACTCACGCAGGATTGGTTGATGAAGGGATGAGTTATTTCAACTCCATGAGAAGTGATCATGGTATTGAGCCCAAGATTGAGCATTTTGGATGTGTGGTGGATCTTCTTTGTAGAGCTGGGAGATTTGAAGAGGCAATGGGGGTAGTGAGGGATATGAAGCTTGAGCCTGATGAGGTGATTTGGGGTTCGTTTCTGAATGGTTGCAAGGTTCATGGTAATTTCAGCTTGGCAGAGTTTTCAGTTAAAAAGCTTATTGAGATTGATCCGAAGAATGTGGGTTATGGGGTGATGTTAGCTAACTTATACAGCAAATATGGGAAGTGGGAGGAGGTGGGAGAGGTTAGGAAGGTGTTGAAAGATTGTGGAGGGAAGAAGTTACCCGGGTGTAGTTGGATTGAGGTGGATAGCTGGGTTCACCAGTTTTATTCAGGTGATAAGCTTCATCCAGAAGCTGATGAGATTTGTGTATTATTAGAAGAGTTAGCTGGGCTGTTAGAAACTTCACATGAACTATTTTAGTGGGATTTCAGAATTCTGAGTTGAGTCTGGCCCTGCGAGCTAAGTTTTACCTGATTGGTTATCTCAGTAAAAGATTAACTTCTTTTAAAATATGACTGTTAGAAGAATTGGAAGCCATCTTCTGCACAACAAAAAGGCATTACCAGAAGTTTGTTTTTGTTAGAAGTGGAGCCCGGTACGACCCTCTTCCACTCCTGCGATCGCGAATCGCAATCTCCCGCTCCCGCCTCCTCCATTTTCGCGAATCGACACCTCTATCTGCTCCCGCACGCGTGAAGCTTCGCGTCGCTTTGCCCGTTACTCCTTTGTCGCGAAAGGTCGCGACTCCTCCCGCTCCTGCTCGATTGCGAAACTGTTCCCGCTTCCCGTTGGCGATAAAAGGTATCGCACGGCTTTCCTTTTGGCTATATAGAGAGAGAAGTCACGGGCAGAGAAAGCATTTGCGTTGAAGCAGGAGAAGGAAGAAGAAGATTGGGAAGAAGAAGGTGTTCTTCTCGGTGACTTGTGGCAAAAGAGAAACAGGTTTTCTCTTATATATTTTTCTTCTTCTTTGGTGTTCTTGCTCTTGGGTGAATCTTGGTGTAAAGAGAAAGAGCAAGTGAAAGATCCTTAATTGTTGTTGTGATCAAACTGGTGTAAATTTCCTCAATTAGAAAAATCCTCTGCAACTCCGTGGATGTAGGCAATTTGCTGAACCACGTAAATCTGTGTGTTATTTTATTTGCTTTGTTGTCAATCGTTTTAAATTTCATATATACCACAACAATTTTTCCTTATGAGATTTACAAGACGCGGTATTTGGTGTAAAATCTTGTAATTATCTTCAGTATCTCATACTCAGTAAATCAAATTTGAATCTTGACCCATGATTCATACATTGAGAGCGCTCCTTCACCGCAAGCTGAGCATTTATTTTATTCAATATGACAAATAATTTGATGATCAAGATGAAACTAAGAAAATCTGAGGAAAAAGTGCATTTAATTTGATCTCTATTTGTTGAATCTCATGTTAAAATGTCTCGAGGGTTAGAATTGAGTAAAAGAAGGAAAAAAATGGTAGAGTCGGTCAAGACTTTACTGTCGAGGGAACTGGAGGAGTCCAAAAAGCTTGCCCTCCCTTTGGTTGTTTTTTTGTCTTTTTTTTGTAGGAATAAATTTTGTACAATTACAGAAAGAAGAAAACAATTTTAAAAATTATTCTTAATGCAATTAATGCTTCAATTAATTATATAGAATTTATTCTATATCTGTTTATAGTTTGAATTCTAGCATGGTCGGAATTGGCCGATCGACTTGCTTGACTTCGAGTTGAGACAATCGGCTGAGTGGCAACCTTGTCTTGTGTTGCTCGGCCTAGACATCCGGTCGAGTGTTGATCTCATCCCTCATGACGAAAGGTGGGTCTGTCGATTAGCCGCAGTCGAAGATTCTTGCTTACCCCCGGTCGGTCAGTCGGTCGGTCAACTGATGGGTTGATTTGTTTTATAGGGTGAGTCGTGGCTTGTTTATCATTTGACTCAAGTCTTCAGGGTCTGCGTCTTTGTCTGTCTGGTCGATTCATTACATCGGCCGGATATTCCCTTTCGCAAAGTCTTGGGCGAATCTTGTCTTGCTTATATGGGATATCCAACGAGACTCACTGTCGGAATGAATTGCACCTCTCTATTGACGGATCTTGTCGCTATCAAGCAGTAAAACATCTTCCAAGTTTTGACCTATCCCGGGTTTAGAGAAACGGCTTCTCATGTTGGGCATTTAATTGTCGGTTCATGGCTTACCTCAAAGGGATGTTTTTTACCCCCCGGTTGTTTATTTTCACTGAGATTCATACCAGTAGTTCTGGTGTATACATATTAGTTCTCCGAGTTTTCCTATTCCTTGGTGGTGAAAGTTGCGATAAGGACAAAGAAATTATTATTTCAATCGTGTCACATAAATCAAGAAAATTTAATGATTAGGTCTCCCTTTATTTTCATGCCTGACGTGTCTTATAAATAATCCAGGAGTTGTGTTGTTCATCTTTTGCCAATTTTTCCAGGGTTGTTGAGTAGGCGTTATGTTGGGCAGCACAAGCAATAAGATGGTCGACTCGAGCCTACGATATTGGCGGTGTATGTACCTGCTCTGATATCTGTCCTTAAAAAAGAAAAATGTGGTAAAAAAAAGAGATGACAAGAGACGATCGATCCTGAGTCGACAGACCAGGTTGCTTCTTCCGAGGGGCCCATATGACAGTCGCCAAAGAGGCTCTAGAAACCCTTGGGTTCTGATCCGAGCGAGGTCAGGGCGGTCATTGAACCGTCAACGCCGTCAGGGGAAAAGGCTGCTGACGATTTTCATAGCATGACGGTAGTGGTGGTTGACTAGGTTGCGCCGTCCAAGCATTTTCCACACCAGCTTGTAAACTAGCCAATGTATTGAATGTTGAAGAGATCGACTTCCTGATATTGGAGGGGCACTTAGAAAATGTTATTTGTGAAGTTGCCCCCAGTCTTAAAACAATTCCCGAAGACTTGTTTAAAATAAAATGTGGGATGACTACCTTACCATAGTCATGCCTGTGACGATAACGTGAAAGACGTTTTGAGACTGCAATGAAGGTTGTCCCCTCGACATGAAAGAAGTTGTGAAAAATTTGTGTCTAAATAGGATGTGAGAAGTCTGCCCCACTATAATAATTCCTGAGACGTTGCGTGAATGACTTTTCAAGATTGTATAAAGTTTCGAAATTATTTGTGCTGAATAGGATTTGAGAAGATTGTAACGCTACCATCGTGCTTGGGATGTTGACGCAAACAACCATTTAAGACTGCAGTGAAGGTTGCCCTCCACAATGAAGAATGCTTCAAAGATGATCTTCAAGATGCAAAAGGATGTTCTTTCACTAGTTGGATGATGTACATAATTGGGAAACAAAGTAAGGACTCTGTGTCTCAAAGTTGAAGACAGTGTCGAACGGGACTTCGTTTCTCACAGACGTGACCAAACTAATGTGTGCTAGAAAATTTACTGCGATTGAGTAATTGGTTATCATCTTAGCATTGCTCGAAGAATTAGCACACACTCAAATAAACGAAAACAACCAGTAGAGCACAAGAAGTTTTTACGTGAAAAACCTATAAATCAAAAAAATCACTGAGGTCTAGCCCAGCTAAAAAAATTCACTATAAACTAGATATTGCATGTGCAGTCCCCTATCCACAGGCGAGATGGAGTTACAACGTCAATGCATGAATGAACTTGTTGTAAGAAGTGTGGGCGGCTGATGGTGTAGGGCGACAACCAGCAAGAGATAGTCGACGGCGGTCAACGACTGGTAGTAGGCGGTGGCCTGAGGCGATCGACGATGAGGTGATGATGGGCTTCAGCTCCTCTAAGCTTCAAACTCTTCTTCAGGCTTTAAGCTCTCATTCCCTCTCATGCAAGAATGTGAACCACTTTGATCGGACAACCCGGTGAGTTTCTTTTGTCTCAACGATATTTCATGGGCATTGGAGTGACTTAATGATGTTGGACTTGAGCGATCTTAGGCTCGTTGAATTTGTTTCTTCGAGATGCTCGATTCGACTATGTACTCGCCGGATTCAACATCCATTTAACCTTGCAAACGTCATGATTTAACGTCTTGATCGGGGCTTGGTTTAAATCAAAATGACCAAATTTGGTATTATTGAGTCTTTCTCGTCAAATCAGTCAGTTTGAGTATAAATTAGTTTGAGTATAAGGTTGTTGAAATCGGACTTCATGATGACTCAAAGTTTGAATGTTTCGTCTTCAAAAGATTTATTAGTATGACATTTTGAGATTTGTGTCGGTTGATGAGGTTTTGTTAGTGCCGTATCAAATAATTGCTTTTGTCTCACTCTGAAATCAAAATCCAAAGTCAGCTTCATCGAAGAAATATAAAATTATACATGCGACGAAAAACAAAAAAGGCCAACAATGCATCTTCTTCATGATTATGAGGCGAGAAAATGGCATGGCCTTTTCCTATTTGTTCGTATACTCGACTTTTTAGCAGAATTCAACCTCAACTGTGGCGTTAGGTTTGGCTAATAGTTATTTTTCTTGTCAGTTATTTTGATATATAATATTTAATTAAGTTTATTATATCTAAAATAAACAAATTTATAATAATTGTTAATTAAACAAGTTTAGGTTGTTGGTATATTGTATTTAGAGAATAAGTAAAATCTAATTAAATTTTGAGCCTTGTATAACAAGTATATATATATATATATATATATATATATATATTAAGGAAATATTTTAGTTTTTTTTTTTTTTGAGCTCATGATAAAGATTTAAAATTATTATAATTATATATTTGATAGATCTCCATAAAAGCAATCAATCAAGCATGAACTTTGGTGCAACATTTAAATTTAAAATATTTTTAATCATATATAATCCTAACTCTAAATTTAACAAAAGTATAGTCATGTATGTTGACTCTATGAGTCCAAAGACACCAAAAGTCTTCTGATTTCAAGCCTACTGATACAAAATAAAGCATTTCAAACGTAAACAAATATTTTGTGGTATTTTTCATTAATGAAGTCAACCAGCATGCTTCATATCTACTTCAACATTGCCATTGTCTTGGCCGATTGAGTTGGGGGATGAATATCATCTATAACCTATGATATTTACTAGTAAAAAATATTATCTTTTATTCTATCGATAGATATATGAGAATGTTGCAAGATACTAAGATGATAAGTTGTCTGTATTTTAATAAATAATAAAACAGGCAATGTAAAGCATAAGTATTTACATATCTCGCACCTAAAACATGCTATTTATGAATGCCAACTTGCAGCGAGCTCCGACGAGCTCTATGCCTCTGACGGAAGGAGAAGAAAGATGGGTGTTAAGGTGGTATCTGCATGCCTTACCCGATCTCGTCGCAGACTAGAAACATGGGAGCTTCAGTTATCTTTGCATGTCCCAATCCCGTGACTGAGGAAGAAATATGGGAGTTCGAGACATGCTTGTATGGTGCAATGCTGACTCACCTGGAGAAATTAAAAATGGGAGTTTCAGGGTTCTTTGTACGTTGCAATCTCATTGCGTAGAAGTTTCAAAGGTTTTTGTACGTCATGATCCTGTCGACGCCAAAATAGGAGATGTAGTTTCGGAGGTCTTTGAATGCCACAATTCAATCTCATGGGAGTTTCGGAGGTCTTTGCATGTTGTGATGCTTTCCCTTCAAACAAGATCACCTGAAAACATAACAGAAGGTGCTTGATGCATGCTAGAAAATTCGCACCAGTAGGGTAATAGATTTTCGTCTTAGCATTGTAAGAGAATTCAACGCGCACTCAGATGAAAGAAAATAATCAGTAGAGACACTATAAGTTTTTACATAGAAAATTCGTAAGAGAAAAAACCACGAGGTATGACACAGCTGAGGAGCTTCACTATAAACTGGAGATTATATGCACAGTCCACTGTCCCGGAAAGAGTTGCACAATCTTCCAAGCTACCAAGTTGGTACACGGATGAACTTGTCATAAGAAGTGAGCAGCAATCGATGTTGATCAGCGATAACCAAGAAGTGATAGTCTCTCGTCGATCGTAGACTAATGGTCAACTGTGCTAGGAAATATATCAACCAATTTACAACTTTACTAGAGCTTAGCATCAATTAGAAACTATATCATACCACACAATAATGAGATCGTACAAA